TATATATATATATATATATATATATATATATATATATCGATCGATTTCACTCTCTGTCTATATGTATATCTCTGAGTTTTGGAGTTTTTCTCTCAACCGAAACTGAAGTCATTAATTCATTTGAATGAATGAAATTAAAGGCATCCAGCTCCTCACCACTGCGGCATTAGTTGCAGAGAGAGAAAGAGATTGATTTTGGGTTTAATTGGGTTTGATCTCCGTTTCTAAATCTAAAAAACAGATGAAACCCTCTTTTTCGATTTCCTTTCTTTTTTCATAAATTCATTTACAACGACCACTGTTTTTGCATTAATGGCGTTTCATATCAAATGGCTGAAAACAGGGAGAGAAAACACTCTGTCTTCAGTAATTGCCTTCCATCTTCTCAACTACATTCTTATATAAATCATACCTTCATTTCCCCTCTTTTTCGCTCATCCATCGCTTTCTCTCTCTACGTTTCTTCATCTGAAATCCTTCGATCCGCCATTATCGACTGTTTTTCAAGCTTTCTCCTTCGAATGTTGCTTCGATCCGCCATTATCAACTGTTTTTGAAGCTTTATCTCTCTCTCTCTCTCATGTTGCTTCGATCCGCCATTATCATCTGTTTTTGAAGCTTTCTCTCTCTCTCTCTCTCTTCTGGTTTGAAGAGTGAAATCAGATCTGTTTTCGTGTTTTAAAGCTTTTTTTATTTAGGCGGGAAAAAAGGGTGATAGATACAGAATGGATGTATCTATAGCCTTGCTATTGTTCACTGCTGTGACTGCTTACCTACTATGGTTCACTTTCATCTCACGGTCATTAAAGGGTCCACGTGTCTGGCCATTATTCGGGAGTCTTCCGGGCCTGATCGAGAATTCCGATCGTTTGCACGAATGGATTGCCGATAATCTCCGGGCATGTAACGGAACCTACCAGACTTGTATATGTGCGGTCCCGTTTCTTGCCCGGAAACAAGGGCTCGTGACGGTCACATGTGACCCGAAGAATCTCGAACACATACTCAAAACCCGGTTTGATAATTACCCCAAGGGTCCCACTTGGCAAGCGGTTTTTCACGATCTATTGGGGAAAGGGATCTTTAACTCGGATGGTGACACGTGGCTCCTCCAACGGAAGACGGCGGCGCTCGAGTTCACGACACGAACGCTGCGACAAGCCATGGCTCGGTGGGTGACTCGAGCCATCAAGAATCGGTTCTGTCCGATTCTGGAACGGGCTCAGGTCCAGTCTGAGCCCGTAGATCTGCAAGATCTTTTGCTACGGATTACGTTCGATAACATTTGCGGTTTGGCGTTCGGAAAAGACCCGCAAACACTAGCCCCTGAGTTGCCCGACAATAGTTTCGCACTGGCGTTTGATCGGGCAACTGAGGCTTCGTTGCAACGGTTTATTTTTCCGGAAGTTATTTGGAAAATGAGGAGATGGCTTAGGCTTGGCTTGGAGGTCAGCTTGAGCCGAAGCCTTGTACACGTGGAGGAATACTTGTCCAGCATCATCAGTACACGTAGGCATGAATTGTCTACTCAGCTTAATGGAAGCCTACATGATGACTTGTTATCCAGGTTCATGAGAATGAAAGAATCCTATTCGGACACGTTTCTACAACAAGTGGCACTCAACTTCATCCTAGCTGGACGTGACACGTCATCAGTCGCGATGAGCTGGTTTTTCTGGTTGGTGATTCAGCACCCAAAAGTGGAAGAAAATATTCTAAAAGAAATCAGTAGCGTCCTGCTGGAGACACGTGGCGATGACGTGGCGAAATGGACCGACGAACCATTAGGGTTCGAGGAGGTGGACCGGTTGGTTTATCTGAAAGCAGCGTTATCCGAGACTCTCCGACTATACCCATCGGTGCCGGAGGACTCGAAACACGTGGTTTCCGACGACGTGTTGCCAGACGGGACTTTCGTCCCAGCCGGCTCCTCCGTCACCTACTCAATATACTCCGCCGGCCGAATGAAGTCGACGTGGGGCGACGACTGCCTCGAGTACCGCCCCGAGCGATGGTTGTCCCCCGATGGGACCAAGTTCGTCAGGCACGATTCGTATAAATTCGTCGCGTTTAACGCAGGACCCAGGATTTGCCTCGGGAAAGACCTCGCGTACTTGCAGATGAAGTCGATAGCGGCGGCGGTGCTGCTACGCCACCGTCTTGCGGTGGTGCCGGGACACAAAGTGGAACAGAAGATGTCGTTGACTTTGTTCATGAAGTATGGATTAAAGGTGAATGTGTTTCGAAGAGATTTGAGAGAAATTATGGAAAGCGTGAAGAAAGAGAAGGAAGGCGGCAAGTAGCAGCGGCGGACGGTGGCGGGCGGTGGCGGTGGTTGGGGTGGTTTTAATGGAAGCTTTGATTTTGGTGGTTGGGTTGAAATTATCGGGGGTATAAAGGTGATGAGGTAGGTTTGAATTTTGAACACCATTAAATTTAAATTTCGGGTCGGGTTGGATTTTGCGGGTCAAACATTTGCTTTGAATATGGTCACATGCAATTTTTATTTTGTAGGTACAATTTCATTTATTATTGTGCCATAATAGTTTTATTTCCATTTCCTTTATGGGAAAATTAATAATAAATCGTACAAATTTTTATTAGGATTTTATGTCGATCCAATAATTATATTAAAAATTATAATATAATATAATTTAATATAATATTTAATATTTATTTATTGGTGAATTATTTTACGGTCTTTATTATTATTTTTATTATTTTGGTTGATGATTATATTTTGTAGCGGTTGTTGAAGTAATTTTAGCTACTTGAATTAATGGTTGATGAAAAGTTTTTTTTAAATGAAGAATTAAAGTTTAAATTTTTTAAAAAATTAAATTTAACTTCAAAAGATTTTTTATTTTAAAAATTATATCATTAATTATATTATTAAAATATTTTATACATTAATAAAATATTATTTTTCTCTCGTAAACATTAAGGATGGTGATTTGTCCTGACCTGCTGGGAGAACCCGACTCACCCGATTTGAATAGAGACGAGGATTCCTCGCTAAAACGGGTCCCAGGACCGGGATCCCCAGTAGACTCAAACCGAGGCCAAGACTAGGGGCCGGGGGATGTTACTCAAACCGGGGTCGGGGATCCCCAGTAGACTCAAACTAACAAATATTTTTCATGGGATTTTACCGGGGTTTGACCGGGGACAAGATGTTAATCCCCATACCCTCCGGGGACCGAGGTTGGGGCCGGGGGATATTACTAAAAACCGGGGCCGGGATTACAAAACCCGCCTCGTTGCCATGTCTAATAAACATTTCATTTCAATGATTATTATTGGTAAATATTATAAAAAATCATTTCTTTATCATGGTAAGCATTTTTGGAGGGTTTTTTTTCCATATTTGGAGAAATTTACACTTTCTCTACTTTGGAGAAAGTTTGGAGAATCTATTAAGCAAAAAATGTCCAAACGCCTATTTTTGTCATTTTGAAGTATCTGTTGGAGATATTCTTAGCAGCAATTCTAACAAGCTCAGCACGAAGCGCACCCTCTAAGAACTACAAGTAAGAAGATATTTCAAAGCTGATTGAGGCTAACAGAGAGGTTCAAGGTCGTCTTCTACATAATTCAAATTTAAACCTGTTGTATTTTTAAATAAAGTTGTTCCAATCATTTGCTTTTTGAGTTACCTGTTTGAGAGCGATTACTTTTTTCAATTATTCTCTTGGGGTAACATTGTAATTTCAGTATTTGAACATTTACTTTGATGGCTATGAATTCAATTCAAATTTAACCATGCCCAAAAGTGGTTTGGGAGTTGTTAGATTGATGGGTGCCATTTAAAGGTAATCTACATTCGTTTAACCTACCGCTCTAACTCTTTGGGAGGTATTTTTTAAAATTAATTTTGATTTATATATTTATTTTTAAAGTATATTATATATATATATACAAAAATGCAATAAATAAAATCACACACTCTTCTCACATTTAGTGAGGTTTAAAGTTCTGACCTCCTAAGAGGCCAAAGACTACGATACCGCTAGACCAAAAGCCCTTTCGTTATATTTTTAAAATAAAACAAAATAGAAAATAGCATTTAGTTTAAAATCAAACAAACTAAACATATCCAGTGCTCACATTTGCACCATTAGTATATGAATAGCAACTCCTCTTATAGCCTCCAGCGTGTAGCTTAGTTGACAAAGGGTTTGAGATCATTTGGCTCAAATATAAGACAAGTCTTAGATTCAATCTGGTAAGCGAGAGCGACGACTCTTTCCATGGTAAGCGCTTATCGTGTAAATTGTTGCATACGATGTCGTTTTGATGGACTAAAATCTTACTCATTAAGTAAATAATAGTGTTAAATTTTACCGATAAGCACTCACCAAGTAAGTGTTTGGTAAACGACCCCTTATTTATCTGCCCCAAAAAGTACAAAACTAACATGAAACGCGATTTATCTCCTAGTTTCGGGGAATTTGTTACATATAACAAGAGTTTTACATTCGACGCATCAACATTTAGCGTGTTAACATCATACAACGATATAATCGGTGTAATTTGTGAACAAGTTAAGAATAAATCAAAAGAAAAACAAAGAATCCCAAATGGTACAGATGATTTTTTTTTAGAAGACAACAACAAATCTAATCGTGGAAACCACTCAACCAGTTACCGTTTCAAGTTTTGGGAGTAAGTTTCAATACTTGACTCAAGTTTTGGGAGTAAGTTTCAATACTTGACTCGACCAACCGTAACTGGAGACCAGCTCATTGGACCGTGGCTAACCCAGCCTGGACATGGACTAAACCCAGGGGCTAGCCACGGTTGAGCTGATGCGGCTTTACGTTTTAAATTATCTATTTTTTCTGTATTGTGGCTTATTCAATCAAGAATTTTCTCACCGGTGGAAAAGAGGTTCCAGACAACAGTTCCAATGAGGTACAAGATGACAGCCACTTTGAACACATCATCCCAAGAACCTGCAACATATGATTGGTTAAGTCTGACATATATAACGATATATAGCGACTGGGTCAAGTTTAGGGAAAAATAGCAAAAAAAACGAAAAACTGAGGAACGCTTTGGTAATTATTCATCTGTGTGCATACAAGTAATTGAAGATGTTTTATGGTTTTTATGCACGTGTGCATATTATACACATGTACATACCGGAAAAATTACTTACAAACCACGAAACATCTTCAATTACTTGTATGCACATGTGCATACCGTACAAATGAGCAATTACCAATAATAGAAAATTGGTTCCATACTCGTGAGAAGGTCATAAATTTAATTAAAAACTCATTTAAGATAATATACCTAAATATAGTTGTTTCCAAGTTTTTAAGGGAGCAAACTGTATAATCGGTGGCAGATCAGATGAAGGTCATTGAGCTAAAAAAAGAATTTAGGTCATACTCCTGATTGAAAACTTATTTAAGGCCTTCCTTGAACCGGACTGGCCCTTTAACTGGTTTTCGTTTAACCAATTAACTGGTTAAGGGGCTTTGACCGGTCCTTTCCTTAACCGGTCCATTACCGGTCCCTAGTCCAAAAAGGGTAACCGAATTGGGCTTTTCCCTTTAACGGATCCTTTTGTGCATCTCTAGTCCCCGTTTTATGATTTTTTTTAAGATTCAAAGATGGATCATAAAAGTTGAAGTGTTCAAGCAAACCAAACTTGTCGGTTTGGTCATTGGTTTGGTTTGGTTTGGTATGGTTCGGTTCAGGCGATTATGTTGTTCTACTTTATCCTGTTCAAAGAACAAACCAACCAACTCACTTTGTGGTTTTAGGAGCGGTTTAATTTGTTATCATTTATGGACACTTCTCAAAGGTTACACAAACTAAACAAAACGAGCACGGTCTATCCCACCCAGAGGTGGGATATGGGGGTTGGATTGTATACGGACCTGACCTCTACTTTGAAATAGTAGAGCAGTTGTTTCCGTGAAATTCAAATGTTACAGATAGAGGGGCAAAAGCTCAAATGTTTATGATCTTACCGTTCTGGAGTATATAACCGGTTGCAGCGGTACCAAAAACTCCAGCAAGTACTCCTGCTGTGTTCGACAACCCCAACAATACTCCCTGGCGTATAAAGTCAAAAGCAGTTTCTTTTAGCTTCATACACGAAATTAGTACCAAAAATAACCTAAAAGTAGCCCAAAACGGCCCCTTCTAGATTTACGATTATAACTTGCATTATATGTAGGGGGTGTAAACGAGTCGAGCTTTAAACAATATGGAGCTCAAGCTTAATAATTATCGAGTTTGAGTCGATCTCGAACACAAAATAGAGCTCGCTTAACTTAACAAGTCGAGCTCCATAGCACCAATGTTCGACTCGACTCGTTCAAAAGCTCGATTAAACTTTACGAGTCCAGTCGAGCAAAACCATTTGAGCATACACTTTTTTGAGACAAACATAAGTATATGTTTACAAATTATATAATCAAAATATAAAAACCATCCAGCTTGAGTAAATAAGCGAGTTATCGATCTCGAATTCCAGCTCATAAACGAGCACCAAGCTCGAGCTCGAACATTGAAAAAATATTCGATCTCGAGCTTCTCGACTTTGAAAAAGTAATCGAGCTCGAGCCTGACATTAATTTTTCGAGCCGAGCTTGAATAACCTGCTACTTGACTCGGCTCGTGTACGCCCCTAACTATATGACACCAAAAAGCTCAAGCTAATTACCAACTTCGTATTTATGTAGCCAATAGAATGGAAGGCTTTAGCACAACTCACTCGTGAGTCGTGCATTTCCTTTTTTTTTTCCTTTTTTCGTAACTATGGGTGTCTGGGCCAGCTTGTGCACATCTCGACTGATCCCATGCCCTGAAGTTAGCAGCCAGGAAAACCTCTAGTGGCCCTCAGGGGACTCGAACCGGTTACCACTAGGGAGCAAACCCAAGGTCTTACACTTACCGGTTGAGGTACCGGTTCAGTCGTGCATTGCTAGTAGTGCCATTTGCCGGTTTTTTCTATTATGGATGAAGAAATGATGGAAGAGAAAGTACTAACCGCATAACGAGGTCCAATGTCTTGGTGATTGGAGTAGAGACCAGATTGGGAGAATGCATCCGATCCCTGTAAAAAAATGACCATAATAGCATTAATGTAATGGTTGACCGTAGAAAGCTAGCCAGGAAACTGATCTTCTTGATGCAGTTGTAACTCAATAGAGTCAGAATGTAAAGACTGATGTTAACCGAGGTTACCAGGGGCAATGTAGCCGGTTACCGGGAACCAAGAGGTTCTTGTTAAATAGATAACAAAAACAAACCAAACGATCCCAGTATATCCCACCTGGAGGTGGGGTCTGGGGAGGGTAAGATGTAACCACACACCTAACCTCTACCCTAAAGAGTAGAACAGTCGATTGCATGAAAACCCCGGCTAGTGAAAAAGTGTGCGAAAGGAAGAAATATGGATACATCTTTGTATCAATTTAATTGAGCCTGCATGTCGACTGTAACACGATATCCTGTAGGCTACTGTGAAATAATACCTTTTTTCATCTTCAGGAAATATACCTTATTCATCAATTCAATAGATGATGACTTCAAAGCAATAATACGGAAGACTAATTTTCCAATTTTCACAATTTTCCACCATGTGGTGCAGTTCTTAAAATGGTTCTAGACCCCCCCCCCCCCCCCCCAAAACCCAAAACCCAACAAAACACAGAGACACAAATCTAAACAAAAAATTGCACGTATCTGCCAAAGGGTCAATGGGCAATGGCCCAGCGGCACCTAGGTTAGCGGTAGATCCCAACCTCCTTGGAGGTCAAGGGTTCAAGTCTCACCAAAGGTGAAAAGTGTGTTTGAGTTTTGCCGTAAATAAATATTAGAGTAAATTACGCTTTTAATCCCTGTGGTTTGTTAAAAATTGCAATTTCCTTCCCTGTGTTTCAAAATTTATGGTTTTCATCCCTATGGCTATGGTTTATAATTCATTGTTATTTTCGTCCTTATGAATTTATTGTTGTTTCAGTCCCTGTTTACATTTATTTACTGTTTTGGTCCCTTGTACTTAAAGGTAGGAGTTAGTTCACGGACGAAAATCTCAATTTCTAAACTACAGGGACGCAATCGTAATTTACTCTAAATAGTATATACTAAAGAATCACATATCCAGAGAGCCTAAAACCAGAAAATTTGTGCTAAATCAGACCTGACTGCAAGCCATACAGAGCACGGCCATAGCAGGTGTCTTGACACGACTCAGCTGAGTAAGAAAGAAAGCAGGGCCCAAGAATCCGATTGACTGCATTATCTGCAAGATTTTGATATTTCAGTCGATTAGTTCTCAGACGTACACAAAAAGCCAAATAGGATTATCATACAAAACAAAGACTAGTATAGTTACCTTGCGAACGGTAGTGATCGATAGGCCTCTGCTAACAAGTGTATCTGCAATCCAACCTCCGATGTTGGCAAAGACAGCCATAGTCAACCATGGCAATACACATAATAGTCCAGATTCAGTAAGGTTAAACTTTAACACCTGAAGGGAAGGAAAAAAAACAAATGTAGATATCTTAGTTCATCTGAAAATATGTTTCACATTCAGCAGCAATATGCTGTCGATGTCTCTTCTCCACAACAATCTACATGTTCTATTCTAATTTATTGAATGAAGAAATTTATATGAGTCGTTTCCTGGTGCATACACAATTAGCTACACGGTGAAAAGTTGGCATGTCTCAAAGATGCATAGCTAATATATTTATGATGTTACGATAAACACTTTTTGACAGGATTTCCCAGAAGTAGTTGTATACCCGTGCGATGCATGAGATGAAAGATTTTATTGTAAATCGAGAAGGGAAAATAGAAGCAGTTTCTCGTCAAAAAAGGAAAATCTGAAATTTATGTTTGAATAAAATAGAATTACAAGTGCATTTAAAGACCAGGTAAAAAGAACTCCAGAAGTTTATCGATATTGGTGTCAAATTAAAGATTACAAAATTCTTGTTTTTTGGTATAAATATGTTTATTAAATTTAGATATTTTAGATTTAAAAACAAAAATGTAACTTGTTTTTGTTTTAATGGTGAAGCATCTTTTGTGGGTAAAGATAATTATGGAGTATTTTTTTTTGTGGATAAAGATAATGATGGAGCATTTTGTCGTATTAACAGGGCTCAATGATTAACTTGTATGTGAACATGTTTATCAGGTGGTTATTACTAAGCAATACCTAATGCTAAATTAATAAGTTGTTTTTAAGACGTTTACCTAAATGTTGTACTCCCTATCCCCCAAAATAAATGTCTACATTACTACTTTAGCTTGTCTCAAAATAAGTGTCTATTTTCAAAAGTAAATGTCTAATTTCGCATTCTACCCTTAATTATGAGGTGGAGAAAATCTCTCTATAATTAAGGGTAAAATTGTCATTTTGTTAATTAAAACATGTAATAATTACACATCCATAAAACTGTGCCATTTTCATTGTGGACATTTATTTTGAGACTGAAGGAGCATAATATAGTATAGAGATGAAGCTAGAAAACAATGGATAAGAAGCATAAAGAGGGATGGTAATAATTATTCAACTTTTCTTTTACCTGGTTATAGTAGGTAGGCATCCATGTAAGAAGAATAAATGTTCCCCAATTATGGCAAAAGTGGGATACAATGAGAGCCCAGACAGGTGCCTTTGATAATATAAGTTTCCATGGAATGGAAGTGACGGGTTCCTTTGGGATGCTGCCGCCCAAGATAAACTTCTTTTCCTCTGCACTAAGCTCAGGATCTTCTTCTGGTGAACTATGAGCCTGAAAGAAAGATAAAACCAGCAAAGGGTCATTGGTCCACCCAGGTTGCTCATAGAGCCCAACCTCTCTAGAGGTCAAAGGTTCGAATCTCACCAAAGGTGAGGAGTGTGTGTGAGTTTTCCCGTATATTATAAAATATTATATACTTAAAAAAAAGTCAAACCCGCAGAAATTTACAATAATATTGTCAAAAATGTTTGAGCATATGATTACTAAACATTGGAAAAGTCATTATGATACTAAAAAAATGATGGTGTAACTTGTAAGATCAAAAGTGAATATATGGTCGTGGGTGCCACGCTTCCTTCACATATTGTGTCGTAAAAAGATTTATACTATCAAGGACACCAACAGTGAATGTTCTGAGGATTGAATATGTACTTCATGAATCAAAATTTGGTGCTTAGTAAAAGGTGTGTTAGATGCACGTGGTTCCATGGGGGCGAAAAGGGGGGATCCTATCAACCACTCTTCTAGGTTCTTATATCGGCATCCTACTTTTACTACTATTTCCACTTTTCCAAAAGATTTTAGTAAAATACAGCAGGTAAGACAGTGATAGGACCCAGCTGTAGATTACTTCGAGAAAACAATGAAAATAGCAAAAGACAATAGTTGACCTACATTCAGGAGTTAGCCCGCTCCTTGATTATCTTATTCTTTAGTCAAAATTAAGCATACCGTGTACTACCTGCCAAACCTTACTGACAGTAGTATTATCTTAGTTACGGAGACTATATAATGGCCTTTATGCTAACTAACCTTACCATTACACCTTCCATAAATGAGTATGCGATTAGGCCCATATTTAGCTTTATAAGACCTTATATTTCCTACAAGACTAGTAGCTGAGTTGGTACATTTAGGTTGGGATAAGAGCAACAAGCTGCACTGTAAGTCTTAAGGTTGAAAGCTCAATCTCTTTGCATTGCACCGGGTCAGCAGCATCTAAGACAACCTTTTTTTACAAAAAGTGGGAATTGATATCCGCTATATATTGCAGTCCTACCAAAGGGTAAGGACCTCAAACAAGTAGAATTTGAGTTGGTGATGAAAAAGTACGATTATCAAGGAAATTCTACTTTAAATAGGGAACTAGAATTTAAATTGATGCAGCCATATAAAAGAGAACTTACTTTGCTCAGCCAAAAAGCAAACCACACACTTCCAAGGGAACCAAATGAGTAGAAAACAGATGGCCATCCTAACTTTTGGATCAAGATAGGAGATACACCCAATCCTATCACGGAGCCCAGATACATTCCGCTGTATACCAGTGCTAGTGACCTACTTCTCTCTGAGACAGGAATCCACTTGCTAAGTATGTTATTCATAGCAGGCATCGCAACGCCCTGCCAGGAAAAGACAGCTCATTCAAGCAATAGTTTAGTCCAAGAAATTAAAACCAAGTGGGAGTTAGATATGAAAATGCAGATTTGTATATAGATCTTTAAAAGCTGAAAAGAGTAGATAAGATATTGTAACATCAAGAGCTGCCTCATTGCAGCACCACTCACAGCCTCACAGCTAAACTTGAAGTTTAAGCATGTATCTACCCATTACGTGACAATACCATTGTTGTGCCTTGAGTATGGTTTGTCTGAAAGTCTCGCGTGTTAAGATGAAACAGTAGCAATTAGCCTAAAATTAATATTGACAACATGTCTTGCTTTCGAAAATACATGCCACTTGTACTTTTTTACTTCTACCTAGAGGGTGGACTCTTTGAAAGACCTCATTGACTGATGCACAAATTAAATTCATGCAGTTTAGTGAGTGAGCTTCAGACCTTCGAAACTTAGGAATTGGATTAGCTCAACAGATCAAATGGTTTCATAAGGTGCAATCATGATATTTGGACAGTGGCAATCATCTACTTACTTGATTAGAGAATGTTATTGATTTGGCAATCTAACAGAAAATGGTTTTTCAGTTTGTCGGAATTGTAGGCAAACAGTTAATTCTAAGGTAAATTGAAAACTTTTTCCCCATTAAATTTTAGAAATCTGGGTTTGTGGTATCTATCACTTGGATAAAATCTTGGATCGTCTATTGGAGAACACTTTCCAAGTACAGTATGTCGACCCTTCAAGCCTTGGGTTACACGAAATGTGTATTGGGATAGTCCAAAATCTCACTCTCGTTCTCAGGCAAAAAAAAAAGAGTGTTCAACAGTAAGATTGTTCTAATTGTTCGTCCATAAAATGAGACAGAAATTGCCTTCTATAGGTAGTTAAAATAACGGTTAATTTCGGATGGTTAAGTAGTTATTTAAAGATAAGAACAATTATGAAATTACTATAACATTAACAACAGTTACTGCACTAAAGTTCAGAAGGCAACTTGCCTTTTGAATCCAAGTCCAATGTTCTGAAATGAATTTCAGAAGGCTACAAGCGTTCTATGTAAAAGTTCAGAAGACAACACGCCGTCAAATAGAAACTTAGAACCACCACCATGGAACCCCAGCAGGGGCGCTGCCCCTAGAACCCTGCAAGGGGGCGCATCCCTGCTATATGGCAATCTAAGGTTCAAGGTGGCGTATACGTCTGAACTCTGCACCATCAAACTTGTCTTAATGCTCAACCTTGAATAGTTATCTATCTCAAAGTCAATCTCAATTATACCCAAATGTTTGATGACACTAAAATCACCAACTTCAAATAATAAGGTCATTAAGCTCTATCGAGATGCAATTTCTGTGGTCGAAAACTATAAAAATGTGTTCACGTGAGAAAATAAACATTCACCAAGCCGAGATTGATTTGCCTGGTTATGAATTACATAAATCTGATGCATGCCTCTCTTTGTGACAAGTAATACATAGGGAACTTACATAAAAACAAAATCGAAGAACTTAAAAAGTTACTTCAAAACTTGATTAGAAAGAATGCAACAAATGTTGTGAGGATGAAGAGAAAACAGAAAGAAGCAAATAAAATAGAGCAATGAGCAATGAAATAAATAAAGCAAAATAAGAGGCCAACCTCGCCAATCCCCATGAAGGCACGCATGACAAGTAAGAAAGGAAGTCCTATTTTGGCAGCAATAGGTGTCAAGACTGTTGCAACCGACCACCAGATAACTCCAAAACCAAGTACTTGCTTACCACCGATTTTGTCTGCCCATATACCTCCAACAATCTATTACCCGAAAACATGAAACAAGAATAAAATAAAATCTAATTAAATGACAGTAAGATAGGAAGAGAAGAACACTTGTGGGCAAGCAACAGATTCCACATGGATAGCATGACCACATTTGTGAATAAATGGCATTGCAAATATAATTGCTCATATTAAGTTATGTAAGCATCCATACAACATAAGATTCTTTGCAAGAACATCGAAATATCTAATGAAATACAAGTTGCTAGAAAAAGACTACCAGAATTTAGAAATACTCAATACCTACAAGAACAACTATTTTCCCAAACTTGTTAGGTTTTGCCAATATGAATCCCATGAGAAACTATAAAATAGTATTAAGATCCCAATAACTTAATTTTCATGAAAAGACCAGGTAGGTATTAGAATATATCCATAGTCTGTGTAGCTTCAACTCCCTTAAAAGCTACTACCAGGATTGAAAAGAATAGAAGATGCAGGACTACATCTGTAAGCAGTAGAAGGTTTGGCAAACATTTATATTGGTAACAACACTATATCCTTCTATATCATGTTAGAGCATTGTCAAGGATCAAAACAAACCTGGGTAAGTAAATAGCCCCAGAAGAAAGAAGACTGAATGAGACCAACAGTAGCACTGTTCCAGTTAAACTCCTTTGACATGGGCAATATTGCTATGCTCATATTCACCTGAAATATTATAGACATAAGCAGTAATATTTTTTATTAAAAGAAAAGGAAAGAAGACATAAGCATATAAAAGCATTCAGTATTCTGTTGCATAAGCGCCCAACATATAGCTTGGAGAAAATACATAATAATTTACCTTGAGATGATTACTGAAAAGTAGTGTGGAAAGAAAGCATCAAAATTGGAAAAACTTCAAAATTCGAATATGAAGAACAAAGAGAAAAACTCACACGATCCATATTGCATAGCAGAAATGCAGAAAAGCAAAGGAGTACTATCACAAAGCGCTTTGCGAACTGCTCCCACCAGGGTTTTGTTTCCTGCATTCCTCCAACTAGAGCAGCCTCGCTTGCTCCAGCTTCTGACGCTACAAATGAATCCAAATCTGTTCCTGTCACGTCATACTCCTCAGATTTATAGTCTGCCCGGGTTCTATTAATAGTAGTATGTCGTGGCTGCAGAGGTTTCCTATTACATATACTGATATTTTGTAGCTGTACCGGTTTAATCCAATTGCAGCTCTCGGAAGGTAAGGAGACGAAGCATCTGCATATTCCTCTTGCTCTTCGCCTATGATTTGTCATCTGAAACTTTTTGCTTTCTTGTGGCACCGTATAAGGATGAACTCTATCAGAAGATAAAACTGTTCTAGATCTCAGCGCATTACCAGTAAATGGATCAAGACCATGAGAAGATATTGTATTCCAGTACCCGGAAACAAAGTAGATCTTCTTTAGACTATAGAGCTTTTCTGAATACATGTTCCTATGCACATATTGTGCAGAAGAAAAGCTCAAATTATCTGCTCTCAGATATGCTGTAGCTTGTTCAGGTGGATAAATTTTACCTGAAATAAATTATTGTCCAAGGATGAGCACAATCTTCAAAGAGATTACAAATGAGCTTTGACCAAATATTAAGCAAGTCACTGTTAGTTTTTGTATGGTTTGTCAATCACCATTTTTCTTGAATGCAAACAAGCAAATGAACTTCTGCCTTCTGTTTATCACGATATTTTTTCAGGAAAGGTTCAGCAGTCGAGCCATTGTAAGTATGAGCATAAACATTGCGACTCACTGCTGCAGTCATCAATATGATCTTTTTCTATTTTAAAATGGTAATAAGTACATTTTTTGCCAAGTTTTAGCTAAATCTAACCAATTAGGCCTCCAAGCTAACTTGGAACCTTCTCTGAGAAATGGAAATGCATTTCTACAATAAATTACAACATTATCACTTTTTGATGGATATATCATGCTAATTTTTTCTTACTAAAACTGCTTATCCCCCTCCAACCCCACCTCCAAAACCCATCACTGAACAAGTAAATAATACATTAGGCATTCATGTGCTAAGTGCTAACAACCTAAATATACATTTTTATATAAACCAAATTTTGTGAACGGTCTTCAAACATGAAGAATCGGTATTTAAACAATAATTCTGTGCTACCTCACAGAATTGACATTTGTGCAATAAAATTAAGATTTGAAAGCGAATTACAATTCAAGTACCAACAACCTAAATGTACAATTATGACAAAAACCAGATTGATTCAGAGTGTTTTACATGAAGAATAAGTAGAGTAAAAATAAATTCTGCTCCAACTCCATGGGGGGGAAACATTTATGGAAGAAAACTACAATTAGAAAGTGATTTACAGTCTGAGTGTGAATAACCTAAATATACAATTATGCTATAAACCAGTTTTATTCACCATGCTTAAACATGAAAAATCCAAAGTTTATAACAACAATCCTGCTATAATCCTAACAACAAAATTTGTACAACAAAATTAACACAAAAAAAATCAGGATTCAAGTGCCAACAACCCAATGTTACAATCATGAAATAGATAGTATCCATCAAATACATCTGAACATGAAGAATCTGTCAACCAATAATCCAGCCCTAACTCCATGAGGGAAAACATCATCAAAACATATAATTATGGTTAACAGCAGAGATGTCAAATTAAGAAATGATCTAAAGGCTGAAGCACACACAAAGGCGCACAAATAGATAACAGGAACTAGAATTCAAAAAATATATTGCAGAATTAAATGCGCCAATGGCAATTTTTGACAGGATTATACACACAAAGCTAGAGTTCAAAAAATATATTGCAGAATCACGTCGTAATCAATCTCCCTCGCTCTTCCTATCTATCTATCCTGTTTTAAAAAAATTATGATTATTGATTAACATAAGAATTGCGGCACCATTCAACTATTCAAGTGCCAAAAATCTAAATGTATGATTATGTTTATAGACGAAGAATCCGTCTTATGAACACTTCTCTGCTCGCAACAAATTAATTCTCAAAAAAAGCTAAACTAGCACAGAAAGTACGATAAAAACAATAACAAAACCATAACACATGCTTACTGCATTAAACCTGACAACAATTTACAGAAAGCAAAACCGTAAGAAAGGCAATATTCAATCACGAAATGAAGCACATGCACACATTAATCGATAACATAAACTAAATTTCTACATCATCATTACCTGAGCCGATGAAAGAAGGCAAGTTCCGGTGAGAAATAACGGCTCCGATGGCCATTTTTGACCGGAGAATCTACACAAAAGCTGGAATTCGAAGAGTATATCACAGAATTACGCCATAATCTCTCTCTATCTCTCTCTTTCTCTCTCTAGTCTAGAGTGAGAAGAAAAGAGGATAAACCCTGCAGACGTGTTGTTCTTCATACGAATGAATTTCTAACAACCAAAAAAGAAATTTAAATTCTTTTTTTATTTTTTTATTTTTCTCAGATTTGAAACAGCGGGAAATAAAATATCTTGTCGGTGATAATGTCAACAAGAGGCTGAAGAACTGACACGTGGCAGTCATCCGCAGGGTTTTCTAGTTTTGGTACATAATTGCCCCTGGATAAACCGATATTTACGATGAGATTGTGAGAGTTGTTTTGGTTTATATGGAGGTGAGGGAAGGGTAGTTTGGGTACTTTAGCAGAAAGAATATTCCATTTGTTGAACTAGGGTTTTAGCTTTTGGAAAATATTTATTACTAAGAAAATAGATACCACTAAAAGAGTAAAAAGATCCGATAAGGAGCTAAAAAATAGTTGTTTTAGATAAGGTTGTTTGGCATTTACTGAATGATTTGGTATAGAATGATTAAGTTGTCAGAATGTAAAGACTTTTATGATATAGTGCAAAGTGAAATATAATTGTTTGGTAATCGTTTACAATGAAATCAGGGCAGTTAATGGTTAAGGAAAACTTAGGATACAAAATCATTCAGAGGGTTTTAGAGCTAATAAGAAGCAGACTTTTTTTTGTCAAACAAGATTCATCTTTTAATAAAATTATTAAGAGGTAAATAAACAACCTCATAGTTTGTAAAGAGTTGGGATCATTTTGCTTCGGGTTATTTGTTTACCTCTTAATAGTTTTGAGGAAGTCTCTGAATTGTTAAGAGGTGAATCTTGTTTGTCAAAAAAAAAGTCTAACACTTAACATCGGCAGAGAAAAATAATACGGTGGCACGTGCCACCGTATTATTTCTCTGTGGAAGAGTAAAAAATTTAGGTTCGTGAAAGTTGCAACCGTATTAATTTGTTGTGTGTCACCGTATGTATTTTGAAACTACAATGAGAACAAGTTTTATTTGGTAAAGTTTGTTTGTTTGCAAGCCTTTTTATTCCACTTCATACCCAAGTTTGAATCATGTTAGTGTTATTTTCTTAGTCAAATGATGTAATCGTTTGAAAAAAATTCCGTATATTTGTTTCTTATAGTTTTTTCCTTTATTTTTTTCTTATGGTCAAATGGTGTCATCGTTTGAAAAAAATTTATGGGTCTGTCTCTGCCTCTTAATGTTTTTAAAACCCTCTGAATGATTTTGTATCATGGGTTTCCCTTAACCATTCAGTACCCTAATTTCCTTGTAAATAATTATCAAAAAATTATATTTCATTTTGCACTATATCATAAGAGCCTCTTAATCATTCTGATCACTTAATCATCTTGCACCAAACCATTCAGCAACTGTCAAACAGCCCCCAAATATAAGACAGGCCTTGGATTCAACATTAGATTCAGAGATGGAACGATTTTATCAAAATACATGACAGGTTTCGTGTTTGATCGCAGACCCCTCGCTAGCCTCAGTGTTGAATGAGCCAAAAAAACATGTCACCTTACATTGGTGTTCTTGAATACAGGTTTCGTATTTGGTCGGTTGGGTTACCGGTATTGGTAATAAAATTTTCCCCAAATATAAAGACCTCTTGTGTTTGCAGACCGTCTAATAATAATGGACAAATTGCATGAAAAACTAACGTACTTTAACTTGATTTCTATTTAGGGTAACGTACTTTCAAAACTTCTATTTTGGTACCTAAAATGTGAAGTTTTAAACATTTAAGTATCCGAGTAACCCGTTGAAGCATTAACCGGTTATCATGTTGATGTGACGAGTGTTGTGGTACCCAACTCAGTGTTATTTGCTGATGTGGTTAATGACATGGATATTTTTAATCTAACATTAATCTTTTTTTAATCTAAAATTAGTCTTCAGTCGGTTATCCAGGTACTTAAATGTTTAAAACATTTATATCTTAGGTACCAAAATAAAAGTTTTAAAAGTACGTTATTCACAATAAGAATCAAGTTAATTTACGTTATTTTTTCATGCAATTTGTCCTAATATAAATTATATTAACTAGGGTGTTTTTGTCTCTTTCACCAATTGATATCACATTTCTTAATTATCTTATAACAGTTTAGCATAAAAACCGTAATTAAAATCCACATATAAAACCTTACAAAATATTGTTTCTTTTTTTTTTTGCTGTGTTTTACCTAAGAAAACATTTACTGACATTTCACATATGAAACATTTTTTAATACTGTCAGTTTCTGGTTTGTTGTTGTGTTTACCTACGAAACATTTCTCAAATTTCATATATGAATCATCTACCACATTCATTGCACTACAAAACATTTATCATGTGTTTTTTCCGGCCAGATTTTATTGTACGTATTTAAAATCTGTAAAAAATTAAATCTATAGTTTATTATTGCATATATAGAGAAGGTCGTTTAAATGAGAATTCAGTATTTTGTAAGATATGTGAGATTCAATTTCAACCATAAATTAAAGATTAAATTATGAAATTAATAATTTTGGCTTAAAATTCTAAATAAAGAGTAATTTACATATTTTAGAAATTTTTTCTCCTCACTTGTGAATATTGCAGTGATTATACTCTGATTAGGGGTGGCAAAAAAATGACCCAATATGTATCCTAACCCAACCTAAAATTAGCAGGTTGGTTTGAGATTTTCAACTCATTTAAAATAAATGGGTCAACCCACCTAACTCGTTTAAATAAATGGGTTGGGTTTGGTTGAATTTTTCGACCTGTTTTCAACTCGTTTTTAACTTGTTTCCAACCTAGTTAAAATATTATATAATTTTATTTTATTCTTAATATTATATCTAGTATTCTGATTTTTAGTTTTGTTTTATTCTTAATTAAAAATTCTACCGTCGTGAGATGAAAATCCAATGTATTTTTCAATTTATTTTGTACAATATATTTGTTGTGGTTGTGTTTTATTCAAACTTTGAACAATTTGTTTGTATTTGTGGTTTTGTTGTGTTTATTAAAAAAAAATTAAATAGTCTAGTCTTTTCTTTTTATTTAAAATTTTAAAATTAAATGGGTTAACCCAAGTTCAATCCATTTATTTAACATGTTGAGTTAAGTAATCGTAAACAGGTCAACCCGTTGTCTACCCATTTAGATAACAGGTTGGACCGGGTTGAAAAATCTCAACTTATTTAACTAAATGAGTTGGGTTGGGTTGGGTTGGGTTGATATTTTCAACTTGTTTAATAAATGGGTTGAACCCGAACCCAACTCAACCTGACCAATTGTCACCTCTAACTATGATACCTACTGATATCATTGAATACACGTCGTGATATTCTAAGATACACGATGTAATATACTGTAAACAGCAAAAATACACACTATGATACAAATAAAACAACAAAAACAAGCATTAATTATGATCATTCTCTCGAGATATATATATATATATATATATATATGTGTGTGTGTGTGTATGTGTGTGTGTGCGCACGCACGCTTATATCTACTAATACACACTATGATACGCATTAATTAGGAAATAAGGTGCAACACATGATGGGGATAGATTTCCTATAACAAAAAACTCGAAATTCCCCTTTAAAAATTATCACGATAGTTATTAGTAGCTTATAACTTTTGATGATATTGGATGGATGTTGTATGATTTGAATGCACCAATTTAAAAAGGGCAAATTGCATAAAAAAATAATGTACTTTAACTTTATTCTTATTTCGTGTAACGTGTTTTCAAAAATTTCATTTTGGTACCTAAGATGTAAAGTTTTAAACATTTAAGTAGCCGGGTAATCGGTTTAAGACTAATTTTAGATTAAAAAAATCCATGTCACGAACCACGTTAGCAAATAATATTAAATTGAATATCACATCACTTGCCACATCAATATAATAACCCGAAAAGAAGTGAACACAATCCAAATTAATCGAGTAAAATGGTGATGGTTGGTGGTGGTTATGGGGTATATGTTTACTAGGGATATTGTATTTTGAATTTGAGCCATGAAACAATCTCTAGAATTTGAGTTAAATATAATTTAGTTAATATTTTAATTTTTAGTTTTCTAAAAAAATTATATAAAATCTATCAAGTTTCTTTTTTATTGACTCGAATATCCAACTTGTTATATGAGCCAATTAATCCCAAGATGACCACCCGCTTAACAGATAGACCGAAGTCAGCGTATTTGAACATTCGTGGTGACAAGATAACTTTTATTCCTTATTGGATTTGAATATGGACCTCAAAACATTTTCTATATTTAAAGTCTAAACTCAAACCAATCATATATCATCTTTGTGGTTAAAATGTGACAATTGAAAACCTCAAATCATGATTGATATTGACAACTCCTTGTATGAGTAGGCAATTCATTCTCTTTTTCTTGTAATATTAAAGTTCAAAATGTGTGAAAATGTAAATAATGTTGTTTTCCTAATTTTTTATTAATATTTTTTGTTTCTTATTTCATATATATTATTTTTCAACTCCAACGACTATATAAATGTATTATTTTAATATATATTTAAAAGAATTTATAAAAATTCATAACATATTAATTTTATTAATGGAAACAATTAAAATAATAAATATCAATTTATTCAATATTTTTTTTTAAAAAAAAATTCTACAAATTTGAATGTTTCTAACATAAAATTCACCTTATAAGCTTACTGAATAAGTCACTACCAAATAGAGATGGCCAAATGGGCCCGGCCCGGCCCGTAACCGACGGAGGACCGGGACCGGAGAGGGACCGGGACCGACCGGGACCGGTAGGGACCGGTTGAGGGACCGCCGGTTATGATCCGGTTAGGGTTTTTGACGTTTTTTGGGACCGGGACCGGTTATGTAACCGGTTATAGGCCCGGCCCGGCCAGGCCCGGTCAACGAAAGTCAACGAAACGTATATATATAATAAACCGTATTTTTATTGTGTATTTTTAAACGTATTTACAACAAAACGTATTTATAAACATATATATATATATATATTACAAAACGTCTTTATAAACGTATATATATATAACAAAACGTATTTATAGTAAAATGTATTTATAATAAAACATATTCAAAATATCATATTACAGACATATTAAAAATTTATTAATAACCAAAAATTTAAAAAAAATCTTTTTTTTTTTGAATAGGCCCGGTCGGGACCGGTTATGGGACCGAGACCGGGACCGGTTGGGACAACCGGTTACTAATAACCTTGACCGGTTACAAGGAAAATCACCGGGACCGGGACCGGGACCGGAACCGGTTACCGCCGGTTTTTGTCGCGATTAGGCCCGGTAGGGACCGGTTAAGGCCCGGCCCGGGACCGAATTTTGGCCACCTCTACTACCAAATAGTCATGTATAACTGACCAAATAAACTACAAGTATCATTAAACTCATTAAATTACTAACAAATATATCCTAAGACATATTTCATTGTATCATGATGCATGTGCTCTATTATTAAACCATAAAAACTAAAATAGAATGTTGGAACTTTGTATTTGCCAATGTCTACCAAAAATGAGGGATAATCAGGGTCGTCCTTTTAACATGTTAAATATAAGATTTTGAACAAGGCCTCCAAAATTTTGGGGCCCAAATTTACATGTGTTCAGAGTTTTTTATCGACCTATGTAAAAATATAGCTGAAATTATTTACGGTTAAACCATTAATTGTTTGATTTTAGGTTTAAATCATTAATGGTTTATGTTCAGTATCTAGTTGTTTTAGGTTTACTCAATTTTTATTGAAATCATTTATTCTATGTTATCTCATTTATACAATATAATCAAAAGTTTTAGATATAATGTAACCTTAAAAAAGTTTGAAATTATCCCTGTGGATAAACAAACATATATACCACAAGAAATTTTTATCACAAATTGAAAGAATCTAGAGATTGTTTTCATGGTTCAAATTCAAATACAATACCCCTAGTAAACAACTACCCAATAACCACCACCCATAACCACCATCAACCACCATTTTACTCGACTAGTTTGGATTGTTGTATTAGTTTGCTTTCTTACCATACATTGATTCCACCTTCCCATCATTCCCACCAAGCAACAAGTACTTATCTTTTCTAGTCAAATTGGTGCATTCAAATCCCAAAACACCACCCAACACTTTCTGCACATGATTCGCCACCTCGATCGACGTTTTCCCGCCGCCCTTAACAGTCATTTCCTCCGGCAACCGCTCCAAAAACGTGATCTCATATGTCGGACTCGGGTTCATGAAATAGAAGTACGGGTCCCAGAACTTGACACCACGAACCGTCGTGCCATTGAACATGTTCTGCTTCAAATTCATTGCCACCGGCACGATCCTGTCACTTAATTCAGCAAACAACGCACTGAACCGCAACAAAAACGGTTCACGACACGTGGTGCCCTCCGGGCAGACCACCAGGTCACCTTTCTGAAGCAATTCTTTGATCCGGGCAGCATCCGCTTCACGGTCACGGGTYAGGGCRATGGCRGGGATCGGWGAMAKGAACCKYGAGAGYTTGCTKACRCTGTAYGTSACGCAAAAYGGTTTGCGGCCAAGWGCGATGGCGATGATGATGGGGTCTAGAGCGGTTCGGTGGTTGCATACGTAGAGGTTTCCAGGGGTCCCAGGTGAGGGTGGTGGCGGTGGGTTGCCACGAATCACGAGCTTGATCCCGAGCATGCCATAGGTGTAACGGACTATTCGCTCAGGAAGTGGGAGATTGAAGTAAACACGGATAAGGGAGAGAATGAATCCGAATGGAAGCCAAATGTAGGTGATGAGAGCATTAAACGGAGTGGGGCGTTGGACTAGGCGGCCATCGTGGAAGATCAATCGGGTTTTGAGGCGATCTCGGGATACGATGGCTGCCGATTCGTCTTTAGGCACCATGAAACCTTCCTGCAGTTTATCAAAGTTGTGGCAAAAGCTTTAAGATTAAACCAAACATACAGTTAGTAACTACTGTTATCTGTAAATAAAAATTAAAAGTTATTCTAACTTTTTTAAAAGAAAAAAAGCAAATTTCCAAAGACAACCTTATATAAAAGTATTTAGACACGTACAGTATTCTAAGCAGATTGAGGGCCTGTTTGTTAACAGCTTAAGAGCTTAATGAGACTCTTAGAGCTATACATGACTGCTTGATAATGGTTTAATAATATAAAAAATGGCTTGTTCAGTAAGCTTCTAGAGGGAATTTTCAAGTTTTTTCCAAACTTACCCCTCCTAATTAAAAAGCACGCTCCTTTCATTTATGGAAAAAAAACCTTCCAAACAAAAACATCCTTGATGTATTCAAACAGATTAAACACACAAACAACTTAATTCATATAGAACTTAAGGACCTGATTCTTAGCAACGTAATGAACTCAATGGGCCTCAGACTCACAGCTTATTCGGTCAGCTATACATGACTGTTTGGTAGTGACTTAATAATATAGAAAGTGGCTTATTCAGTAAGCTTCTAGGGAGAGCTTTATGCACCAAGTTTATTTCATACATGCCCCCAATTAAAAAACACCCTCCTTTTATCTATGAAAAGACCGTCAAAACAAAAATCTTCTCAATGATCTACACAGAAAACTTTATCTATACAAAACTTAAGAGAAAGAGATCTAACTGGGGTAGGGTTAGTGAGACGACAAAGGGAATTCTGCTCTTTAAGGTCAACTTTTATGTACATCCTCCAAATATAATATATTGTATCTGTTTCTGCTTATGTTTGAACATCAAAATTCAACATCAAGCTCTATTTATAATTCAAGTCTGGGCCAAGTAACACATATATTATCATGAACTGGCCAACGAAAAAGGGCCCTATATATTTTAAAGGAACTACCACGTGACTTAGGCTAACAAGCATTACAGTGTGGGCCTATACCCTTTAAGGGGTATTAAACAATCATCTACCATCTGCTTCCCGCATTATTCTTATTAGAGTACACCAAACTCTCCACGATTTTATTAGACATCCAACCACCTCCCTAAATGTACCTCACAAATAAATGCGTGTAGTTTGACAAAGCATACATATACCAGCGACACATAATGCACCGAAAATACAGATCAGCCAAGTATTATAGTCTACACTAAGCAAAAATATAATCACCAGCAGTTTTTTACTTTCTGTCTCTCTATATTTGCTTCGGGTTTCCGTGTCGAATCAATTGCAGGATAATTTAAGAACCATGTGTTACATTTCAAATTACCGTTGGATAGTGCATAGGGGTATAAGCACAGGAAGAGGTGAATTCTATCATTAGATACCAGTTAGTAATGGATCCATCAAAAAAAGCAGTGCAAAATGGGGTAAATATTGGAAACGCAGCCATTTGAGAGCTTTAAAGTTGTAGAGACCCAATCTAGAGATGCTACTAAAATAAAAGAATGAACAAGAACATGGTTACCATACACTACTATCAAAACTCTATTTTCACACAAATTGCAATGGAAAAAATATTATAGGCCTGGAATTATTTAACCAAAATCAGTATCAAGAAAGTGCTATTTGTTAGCTCATAGTTGGCTAATTAATAATTAACAAACTCATATGTAATTAACCCATTTTATTTATGCTTTGTCCTGTAACAACTATGCATCATTCTTTACATATTCAATAAAATCTATGTTAAGTCAGGATAGCATATCGAGTTGTTAAAGTAATGTATCTAAATATCGACTACTGCTTCCATTTTATACTATTAATGCAATCACTAAACCTATATATCTCGATAGATTGAAAAATACAATTTAATTTGCTGAGACTGAAACTAGCAAATGGGAAGTCATTTCGTGTGGAATGTTGTCAAGAATCCGGACTACGCCAAAGATATACCTCAAAATGAGCATACATGATACATGCTAGAAACCGGAATAAAAATTTGACTCACCTTGCAAACGGACATGAAATCGTGATCAGATTTCCGATCACCAAGTCCAATATCAGGCGAATTTTCACCAAACTCGTTCAAAATCGCCAGCTTCTTCCATTTACCGACCAAAACACCAGGCTCTTTTACGAATCCCGTTGCTCTCTTCGTCTTCTCATTCACCTCGATCTCCGTTCCTAGCACCTTCTCCGCTCCCAAATAATCCTTCACAAACGCATCCACCATAACTGTCGGATTCGCCGTCACAACTACTTTCCTCTCACAACTATCGAAAACTTCAAAACTATCACTCCTCACGTCCGCCGCATAGAACCGCGGCAGTACGGCGCGTGACGCAAGTTCGATGTCCTTCACCTTGATACCGGAGAACGAGATGAAGATCAACATCTGTATAGCTAAAGCCTCCGAAATGAAAATGTACGCAATAGCAATAATCGGAAACGAAAGCAAGAGAACAAGTCCACGAAGGAGGCTGCCGGCCTCGATCGCTACAAGCATGTAGTATGGAAAAGCTGAACTCGCTTTCAACAGAGTTCCGTCGAGATCCGCCGCCACCGACCGGTGATTGATGGCGGAGACGTCGCATTTCGAGATCGGCCGGAACGTTTTTTCGCCAAATTCCGGCTCCGGTAACGACATTGTTTCTCTCTCTCTCTCTCTCTCTCACTTTCTCTCTCTAGAATTCTGCACGCAATTGAGTGAAGGAAGAGAGGGAAGGCTCTGGTTTTAAATGTGATGGGGGTACAAGGGAAATGACGAAATTACCCCTGAATATAGGTGGGAAGTTTTTGGAGGGGATGTTTCGTGAAATGACGAACTTGCCCATAGGTAGTTCACCAGTTTAAATGCATTGGTAGGAAAGTTGACCGGTGATTTTGACTTTTTGGTTATTTATGAGGCATTAATATAAATATTTATTCCTGCTTCCATTTATATATTATTTTAATGAATATAAATATTTATTTATTAATTAAATATTTATTTTTATGTGAATAGAATTAATTACATTATTTTTTTTAATTTTTTTTATTAAATTAATCAGCATAAATAATTTATTTAGAATATATAAATGAAAAAAAATAACAATTATTTTAATTGTTTGATAATTGTGATTGTATAAAATCAACCATGATAAATACAAGGGTTTTTTATTTACTTCTTAATAGTTTTATTAAAAGACAATATTTGAATTGTTAAAAAGTGAATCTTGTTTAATAAAAAAATATGTCTATTAATGATTTTAAAACTTTCTGAATGATTTTGTATCATGTGCCTCCCTTAACCATTCAATGCCTTAATTTCAATGTAAACAATTACATTTCATTTTGCATTATACCATGTGAGAGCCTTTTAATCATTATGTATTAAACCATTCAGCAATTGTCAAACAATGCCTCAATGTCTACAATTATTATGTACATCTGAAATTGAATCATGGACAAATGATATATTCCACCATACCACCGAGTATCTCAACCATTACACACAATAGCAGCGGAACCGGGTACCCGGCTATAGAACCGGAACCACCTTGGAACCGCCGGTTCCAGAACTGGAACCGATATGAGTGGTTCCGGTTCCGGTTCCTAAAATACGGAACCGATTGAGAATGGTTCCGGTTCCGGTTCTCAATTTTTCGGAACCGTTACCCGCCGGATACCCGGTATTTTTCAATAAAAAATAATAATTATTTTTTAATACCAAATTTATATTAGGTTTACATCTTAAAAGGACGTCGTCATCTTCAATCTTCATCTAAATTCTTCATATAAAATGATTCGTATTTTTTCAAATTGTGTGTTCACTTGGATTCATAGTATGTATCGTTAAACTTTGAACAATTACCATTATAGTATGTAATCGTTAAACTTTGAACATTTTCTATTAGTCTATTATGGTTTGTAATCGTTAATCAATATTTGTAACCATTATTCTGTATAATTTGTATTCTTGCTTATTTATTTAGTGTTTTGGCAATGTTTTATTTTTTATTTATAAATAACAAATTTTTAATATTTTAGGAAGCAGGTACCCGGAACCGGCAAAAAATTAAGAACCGCTCTAACCGGTTCCGATTCCAATATCTCAAGAACCGCCGGTTCCGGTTCCGGTTCCTGTCAAAAAGGACAGGTACCCGCCTATGCTCACCCCTACACACAATCTTTATATTCCATTGTTTTAATTATTTATATTAAATAATTTAACTTAAATTAATAAAATGATGTATATAATACACAACTTGATTTTATGAATAAAGTGGGAAATTAAAAACTGATGTTTTATTTTATTTATTTTATTATTACGTATTCAAGAGCTTAATCATTTAAAAACTCAATATATTGATAAATGATAACTATGAAAGTATCACTGATAGTATTTTATAGTTTTTTTCATAATAGGGTCTTAAATTCAAAATCTCTATAAAAAAATACATTTAGCTACAACTAAGAGTGCTAATGGGTTGATCGGGTTGAAGACATTTGAACAACTTAACCCAGTATTTGTGGTTTGAAATTTTTTAACTCAACCAAAACCATACGGGTTGGTTGGGGTTAGTTTGATTGATATTTTGGTACATTAAAATATTCTTCTAACATTGAATATGTTGTTTTTCTGCTAATAATTTTTTTTTGCATCATCAACCATTTGATACAACTTATTCATATTTTTTATGTATATCACATTCAATTAATTTTCTCAATTTACATATATATGTTCAATTACTGAACATATATACGAATGAGTTATATATAGATGGATATTAAATTGTAAAATATGTATATATGAATAGTGCACATGATAGTGTAATTGTCTAATGTATATATTATTACAAACTCACCAATCGTATTAAATCTAAGAAATAAAATGATATTGGGTTCATCGGTTTGGGTTTAAACAATAGTAACTGATATCAACCCAATACCTACATTTGAAAATTTTACAACTCGATTAGATATCGGTTTGCTTCAGGTTGAGTTATTTCGCATTGGATTGAGTTGGGTTGATCGGGTCTTAAGCACCTCTAGCTACAACAACTATTTTATCCCGGTAATTCAATACATTTAATAAAATACTATTTTTCTTTTTTAGATATTCAATTT